CGTAGACAAGTCTCGGACAAAAGCCCGAGATCCCCAGACACGAAACGCAGACGCATCGCCAACCTGCCCCGTCCACCTCAGAGTGGGGGAGGTGTCCGGCATGGAGACCCGGGGCTGAAGGTTGATCTGACGCGCCGCGTACTGAACCGCAAACGGCCACAGAAAATGGGGAGCAGCCGCATGGATCATGGACGTGCGAGCGACATCCATGACCATGCCAATGCGGCGCTCAGCAATCCCATTTTGCTGCGGAGAGGCCGGAAGCGTGAACGTCTGGCAGATGCCCCTCGCACGACAGAAGGCTCGCAGAGGGCCGGAGGAAAACTCTCCACCTCTGTCAGAGTGCAGACGCAGAACAGGAAAGTCCGAGCCGAAACTCTTCCTGAGCTGGAGACGAGCCGCGCGGATCCAGTCGATCAACACCTCAGTGACCTCATCCTTGCGGCGCAAGGGGAAGACTGTGGTGTAACGCGAGTAGTCGTCAACCACCAGCAGGAAGTAGCGCTCGTGACCCTGTCCACGGACGCGGGCTGGGCCCCACACGTCCATGTGAAGAGTCTGCAGCGGAGCCTCTGTCGGCGGAAACTCAGAAGAGTGAGGAGCGGCGCGCTGCCGCCCCTCGACGCAGGGGACGCAGGTAGGGGCAGGCCCCGGAGGGAGGGGAGGGAGCGACCGGGGGAGACCAGAGACCAGGACACGAGAGGCCATGCCTCGGAGACGAGGCAGGGAGGGGTGACCAAGACGGTGGTGCCAGAGAAGAGTCTCGTGGGACAGGAGGCGACACGAGCAGGGGGCAGACTCAGGACCAGACCGAGACGCTGCAGCAAACACCTGACCCGACGCAGCTACCTGACCAGGCACAGCAACCGGAGGAGACTCGGTAGTCAGGGTGTACAGGCTCGACCCCGGCCGACGGGTAAACGTGGCCAAGTGTCGGCCCGTGTCCGCACACGTGCAGTGGGTCACCCGCTGACGCGCAGGGGTGAACTGGTCAACCCCCCCATCCTGTAGGTCAGCACCCGCCACCAAGTTCGTAGAGAACGAGGGGAGGTAAAGACCCGACAGGGAGCCAGACGGGACCGCTGGACACGGTAGTACAGTGGAGTAGTGGGCAAGAACAGGACCCCCAGAGGGGTCTGCCAGGGAGACCGCAACCGGCCGACTGAGCGGCGTGAGAGTGGTGCGGTCTCGAAAGAAGGAGCGGGAAGCACCCGAGTCAAGGGTGAAAGTGTGCGACGCCGGAGCAGACGTGGTACCTGAGAGAGCAGACTCACCAGCACCTGGAGCAGCAGACTCACTAGCACCTGGAGCAGCAGACTCACTAGCACCTAGAGCAGCAGCTGCACCGCCCGGGTCGGGCGGAACACTCAGGGAACAGTCACCGGCATCACTAGTAGACAATGCATACATGGCAGTGAGGATAGCATCAAAGTCAAGAGCATAGACATCTACCCTCTGCCGTTTTAGCTCCACCCAGTCGGGGAGCTCAGCCGCGTCGCCAAACTCTGTACGCCAGGCGTCGCTCAGACGGGCGAAGCAGCGGGACTCTGTGTGACCAAACGTCCCGCAAGGCTGGTCAGTCCTAGCACCAGTGCGAATGACGTACGGGCAGCGAGCAGAACCCCGTGACCCTCCACGCTGAGCGTACCACTCATGAAGCTGCGGGGGCGACGGGACCGTGCGCACACGATGCCGTAGCTGCACCTGGCCACTACAAGAAGCTCCGGAACTACTCACTCCAGGACGACTCCCACTACGGCCACCCCGACAACCCCAACGAGCGTACCATTCACAAAGCTGGTGGGGCGTGAGGGACTCACGCGGACGGCGCTGGAGCTGCATCTGGCCACGCCAGGAGCAGCAGTAGCAGTAGAAAGCGCAGGAGCAGTAGGAGCAGCAGTAGCAGCAGTAGCAGCAGGAGCAGCAGTAGCAGTACTAGCAGCAGTAGTAGTAGAAAGAGCAGTAGCAGCAGGAGCAGCGGTAACAGCAGTACAGGCAGGACAGTGCTCACCAGTGGCAAGAAGGGCAGGTGTACGATGGCGGCAACGGCAACGCCAGTACCACTGCAGAGCGAGGGCTCCGCGGCAGCTGCAGGGGGGGGGGAAGGGGGGCAGCTGCTCCAGGGGCGGCTGCTCCAAAAACCAGGGGCGGCTGCTCCAGGGGCCAGGGGCGGCTGCTGCAGGGGCGGCTGCTCTCGGGGCCAGGGGCTGCTGCTGCAGGAGCGGATGCTCCAGGGGCCAGGGGCGGCTGCTGCAGGGGCGGCTGCTCCAGGGGCAGGGGCGGCTGCTGCAGGGGCGGCTGCTCCAGGGGCAGGGGCGGCTGCTGCAGGGGCGGCTGCTGCAGGGGCGGCTGCTCCAGGGGCCAGGGGCGGCTGCTGCAGGGGCGGCTGCTCCAGGGGCCAGGGGCGGCTGCTGCAGGGGCGGCTGCTCCAGGGGCCAGGGGCGGCTGCTGCAGGGGCGGCTGCTCCAGGGGCCAGGGGCGGCTGCTGCAGGGGCGGCTGCTCCAGGGGCCAGGGGCGGCTGCTGCAGGGGCAGCTGCTCCAGGGGCCAGGGGCGGCTGCTGCAGGGGCGGCTGCTCCAGGGGCCAGGGGCGGCTGCTCCAGGGGCCAGGGGCGGCTGCTGCAGGGGCGGCTGCTCCAGGGGCCAGGGGCGGCTGCTGCAGGGGCAGCTGCTCCAGGGGCCAGGGGCGGCTGCTGCAGGGGCGGCTGCTCCTGGGGCCAGGGGCGGCTGCTCCAGGGGCCAGGGGCGGCTGCTGCAGGGGCGGCTGCTCCAGGGGCCAGGGGCGGCTGCTGCAGGGGCGGCTGCTCCAGGGGCCAGGGGCGGCTGCTCCAGGGGCCAGGGGCGGCTGCTGCAGGGGGCCGCGAAGGGGCCGCAAAGAGGGGGCCACGAAGGGCCGAGAAGGGGGGGCCGCGACGAGGCCGCGGAGGAGCCGCGACGGGGTCGCGAAGGGGCCGCGCCGAGGTCGCGACGGGGTCGCGAAGGAGCCGCGACGGGGTCGAGACGGGGTCGCGACGGGGCCGCGACGGGGTCGCGACGGGGCCGCGACGGGGTCGCGACGGGGTCGCTAAGGGGGGGGCGCTAAGGGGCAGCGAGGGGGCCTTAAGAAGGGCCGCGAAGGGCCTAAGAGGGGGCCGCGAAGGGCCTAAGAGGGGGCCGCGAAGGGGCCTTAAGAGGGGTCGCGAAGGGCCTAAGAGGGGGCCGCGACGTGCCTTAACGGGGCAGGCCTCTAAGGGGGCCGCGAAATTTCCGGGCAGGGCACAAAGCGCGCCTCGGGCAGCTAAAAAAAAAAATAGAAGGTGGGCCCTTGGTAGGAAGCCATGCTCTATACCATGTGAAGATCGAGAGGATGGTTTGACTAGAAGAAAGAGAGATACAAGTAGAAAACCTATACTCTCTAGAGTCTAACCCACTACAGCCTAAATAATCAATGTTATATAAGTTTGACAAGAACAAGATAAGTTGATCAAAGCATAAGGATAGATGGCTTTATATGATTACAAGATCTATGAGAGGTTTAACTAACTGCGGTTGTAACAGCTGTTTCGGTTCGATACAGCGACGACTCGGATTACTGCTCAATCGCGAGTCAGTTATTTTTCCTTGCTGTCGCGCTATTCTTCTCGAGTCAAGGGTCGCCGACCTTTTACATTCGCTTCAACTTCTTGCTGTTGTCCCTTTTTCAACCACTTCACTTTAGTTCGGTTGACTCGATGTTGCTTCGCTTGTGAGTCTGCCTCGTTATTGTTCAAGTGATCGCCGTCATCGCCCGGATAGTAGACAGTGTTGAATAGTAGACAAGGGTTGCTTATTATCCGGGTGTCTCTTAGAGCGTGTTCCTACGGGCCCCTATCAGGCCAGCCCCTTGTCATACTCGCCTCAAACACCAGAATTTCGGATTAAACGCATTTTGTATTAGACTTTTTGAAGTGCGCGACAAAATGCGTTGGGTGACGTGGCACTGCGGAACGGTCCTGAAAGGTTGCAAAGGAACAAATTTCCGAGTTCAAACAAATTCCAGGAGATTGAAACGTGTGTTTGGCGATAAATTCTTTTTAAGTTTCGTAACCGACAAAACAGCATGTGTGAAGAATTTCGCGCGATTCCCTGAGCATGGCTCGCTGAAACAGTACGTGCGAAAGATTTCGCGCGATTGCCTGACAAGGGTCACTGAGTAGCACGTGTCAAAGATTTCGCGCGAACGATTGATCGAACAGCATTGTAATTAAAAGAGTGTTAATAACGAAATCGCTCGCATGCACCAGCCTGACAAGGGGTTAGCCTGATAGAGGTCCGTAGGAACACGCTCTTATAGACAGGCTAGCCTCATTACAAAGACACCTCTTTGTGTGTACGGGTTGAGCAAGTGGCAAGGGGGCAATTGTATAACAAGGGGGTATCTTCTAAACAGTTCTTTGCCCATTCATAAGACTTATAAGACGCCTTAAACTGTCCCAAATACAAGACAACCCAATCATTTTTGCCCGTGTACGAGATAAGACATATATGTCTTATATCCGGGCGATGACGATATCAGAAGCGTAAACTTATATGTTTCCAACAAAATTTACTACGTATTTTTAAAATTCTAATCACTTCGTCGCTTTCCCGAGATATTTTTATTTACTTTTCGAGCTGAAAAGAGATATGAAACGGCTCCGAAAAAATGTAGTCCGTGGAAATTGAACGCACACAATTTTTCGCAATCCCGTCTAGAATCGTTCCAAACGTTTAAAACGGTGCAAATGATTATTCCGAGGATCATTTTTTACGAAGTCAGGGTCATTTTAGGCAGGAGTTCCTATCAGTTACCATACGCGTTATAGGGCCATTTTTTTGTTACCATGGCGTACTTTCCCGAAAACAAAACACCGAAGTCCTCCCACGCACGAGGTCAGTGCTTGCTCCACGAAGTCCTCCCACGCACTTTCTTTCCAACCAGGGCAGTCTTGGATCCTCGTGGGCTGTGCGTGGATCCACAAGCTTGTAGAACGGACAGCGAGAATGGAGCTTCTGGGCCCACCCAAGCCGTCAAGGTCATGCGATCCTAGTCCATCGGTCAGAAACAGCAGCGCGCGGAAATCATCAGCATCAGTGAACAGTCTGCCTGACGAAATCCTATCCAGAATTCTCTTCCTCGCAGCTACCCCCCACAACTTCTCTCAAGTCGACGCTGCCGCGAGTGGCGCGGAGTCCAGCGTCGATTTCGATGTCAGTCCGTGCCATGGCATGGGGATGGTGTCGAAGCGATGGGCCTCGTTGCTGCCCGTCATGCGCATCACCGCTGCTGCCGACCCGACATCTGGTCGGGAAGACTCTGACGATCAAGTCGATTCGCTGCATCCCGCCCCCACGCTCTCCGCGCCCGCGCTCTTCCGCGCCTTGTCCCGCGCGCCAAGCGTGACGTCCCTCACGCTGGGCGACGGCGCCCTTGATTTCTACGACCGCCACTTCCTTACCTCTCTGCTCGCCGCTTGTCCCAACCTCACCTGCTTGAGCCTCGGCGAGCCTTGTTTTACCGCCGCACCGCCGCCGTTCTCGATCGGCCTCGAACCGCTCGACTCGTTCTTCCGCGCCGTAGCGCCGCAGTTACAGGAGCTTGGGCTGCTGCTTCTTATCGAGGTCACGAAACTTCCGGATTCCATCTCGTCGCTGTCGTCGCTGCGCGTGCTTCGCCTGCGCTCCAAAAAAGTTGCAACAGCTCCCGGAGGGGCTGTGTCATCTGCTCGCTCTTCACGACCTGCGTCTCACCTGCCCGTTGCTGCAGGAGCTGCCGGAGAACCTGGGGCGGCTGAAAGCCTTGAGGCACGTCTCTATCACGAGGGCGGGCAGGAACTTGTTCCCCCTCCCCCATTCTCTATGCGACCTCGCGTCGCTCACCTCACTCTGCATTGACGGCCCGTGGAACGTGCAACTCCCGAGTGGGATGGGCGCGTTGCAACAGCTGCGGCGCCTGGAGCTGCGACACTGCGACGGCGAGCTGCCAGACGCGTGGGCGAAGCTGGAAGAGGTGTCGCTGGACAAGTGCAGCATGCGCTCTCTCCCGCCCACATGGCTGGAGACTCTCACACGCCTCACCCTCTGCTCCTGTGACCACCTCGAGTCTCGCCCCATCCACCCGTCGCCTGCGATTCACCGCTGCGACACTTGACTGTCGAGGGTGTTTGGTCCACTGTGCCGTTCCACCCACTCAGCCGACTCACCTCCCTCCAATGCCTCAAGGTCTCGGGTTCAAGGTCCCACGGCAACGTGAATGTGGACTTTCCTGAGGGCCTGTTCGCCTTGCCGTCGCTGTCTCACGTGCGTGTGGACAGGGTGAAGTGGGTGGAACAAGGCGACCAGTGCCAAGGATCGCTGCTGGGCTATCTACCTCTAGCACTCGCTGCTAAAACCGCCGCTGCTGCTGCTGCCTCGACCGCCGCCTCTGCTGCAGTTGCCGCCCCTCCTGCTGTCGCTGCTCTTGCTGCTACGGCCGCCGCTGCGGGTGCTGCTTTTGCCACTGCTGCTTCTGCCGCTGCCGCCGCCGCCTCTACCGCTGCCGCTGAAGCCGGGAAGCACTCGCCTCTGGGCCACTCGTTACAGCACCTGGAGTTGCGCGTAGGCGATGATAGCTCGCAAGGCAGCTACCATTCCGCCCGCCTCTGGTCCCTCCGCTCGCTCACACACCTCGCCATCTCCGGTCTCAAGCCCTGCAGTCTCGTGCTTTCCGCCTTTGGCCGCCTCACCAACCTCCGCTCCCTCTCCCTCTCCGGCTGCTTTCTCCGCCTCCCAGACTCTGTCTCTCTCCTCGCACCATCGCTCCAGTCCTTATCGCTAGAGTACAAGTTTTGCTCCACCGCCAGCAGCAGCAGCAGCAGCAGCAGCTCGGAAGAAAAACGCGTCTCCCTGCCCTCATTTATCGCCCACCTCACCTCCCTCACCGAGCTCCACCTCACAGATGTCTTCATTCCCTCTCCCCCTCCTCACCTCACCCGCCTGCTCTCACTCCGCAAGTTGCGCATCAACAGCGCCCACCTTCCACGCGCTGAGACCTTCGTGCCGGAGAACATTGGTGAGTTGGCAGCGCTGGAGTGGCTCGAGCTGAAAGGGCGCGTGTGGAAGAAGGAAACTCCAACACTTACGGAAAGGGTGCTCAGGTTGATCCGTCGAGAAGAGCCGCGTCCTAACAGGTTGGAGCATTCGCCACGAGAGTTCGGCTCTGTTGAGGCACTAACGAAGGTGACTACTGAGGGATCGTTTCCCTCTCAGTTAGACACCCTCGGTGGCCTGTCCTCGCTGCAAGAAGCACCTCTGAGCTCTCCAGTCCTTGCTGGCCTGCCTCCCTCCTTTTGTCTCCTCTCTCGCCTCCACACACTCACCATCACCGGCAGTGACAGTATTGTCACCCTGCCTGCTGATTTCGGCTCCCTATGCGCCCTCCAACGCCTCTCCATGCACTCCTGCTCTCACTTGCACAGCCTCCCCGACTCGTTCTCCTCGCTCGTCTCCCTCGTCCATCTCACCATCACAGACTGCCCCAAGCTTTCCACCCTCCCTCATGGCTTCGGCTCCCTCCCCCGACTAGCCCGGCTGACAATCAACGGCTGTGACTCCTTCACTCACCTGCCCGCCTCCTTCCCCTCCCTGCCGTCCCTCTGTGTGGCCGACTTCCGCCGCTGCGAGCGCCTGCACTCGCTGCCTCCTCAGATGGGCCTGCTGCCGCTCCTCGAAGTGCTGCATCTACAGGGATGTGCAGCACTCAGGTCTCTCCCATATTCGCTCAGATGGGCCAAGTCACTCAGGCATGTCGATGTGTCTTGTAGCGGGTTGGATAAAGAGGGAGACTCGTCGGACTGGTGTGGCACAGGAGTATATATTGTATGGGAAACGTATTTGTGGTAGTCTCATTTGTTTGACAAAAACATCTGGTTAACTACCCGGAATTCCCAATTACCGTATATAGGTGACCTTGGGGAAATTGCTGTGACATTTCAAGTTTACCGTACTCCGTCGGACCGACCTCAAATTCGTGACAAGGTACCATGCACATTCTCCCGGACAAAACACCCCCCCATGATAGAGCACCCCCGGGTAGCTTGTGCGGGGTGGGTGCTATGGGCGACCTCGATTTCACTATACCCCCCTTTTTGGATGATTTTTTATAACACCCCCCTTTTCTTACGAATTCGATATTATAACTGTTAACGAGTAGGTGCAAGTACATGAGTATATCGCGAAAATCCCTCGCTCGATGAAATTTCCGGTTCTTTTACATCGAATCTGCCGAGATTCCCCCCCGCCCACTATTCCGCTGTCGCCATGTGCTGGTGAATCTTCCGCTTCAGGTGCCCAGAGAGGTGCCAAATGGGATGTTCATACGGCCCGGCTCGGGAAAAACCCCGCCCACGCCTTGGGATGCACGGGGCGCGGAGACATCGGGGGACGCGTGAGGCAAAGTCGGCCCTCCAGAAATCCACCAGTTTTGGACCTTGCGCGGCCCTGCGTGGCTCAGTGAAATCCACCAGGTTCCCATCGAAAGCTCCGCGCCCCCCCCAAAAACCGAAAGAACCCACCTCGTTCTTACGCGCCGATGCATGCGCGACACGGGAAAAACCCTACGCGATTGGTCGGTAACTTTGACAAGCGGGGCATTCCACCCATGCAACCGCGCGATCGGAAAAAAAAGGAGTGCTACCATTGGTTGCGAAGTCTCGCAACAAATCGCGAACCGAATTCGCCCATCGATAGGCTTGGAAATCGCGATGCAACAATCGGTTCGGAAACACCTGGCGCGATCTGGTAGGCTCCATGCTGGCTGACACGTGCAGCATTTTGAACGAGCCACACAGCTGTCGCTGTTTGGTCGAGACGCGATCGCAGTAACGTGTCATGCACGTCCACGCAGTGGCCAGTCATTACTCCCATCAGGCCCACATTTTCGCTTTCCGCACGCCAGTTGCACCACAGGCTCCTCCCTCTCATGCCACACAGGACTCACCCGACTTGACGGGAAACGGGACACTAGTGCCACGTAAGCGATGTGGGCCGCGTTCGAGAACCAGTGAGCACCACGGTCGCGTTGTACAGGTGTACACTTCACACCGGTAGAGATCGTGCATCATGTTGACGCACGCGGTATATAGGAGTAGGGGCAATTTCGCGCGCTGCATGCATACCGTGAATCGCGTCGCGGCGCCAATACTTGAAGCCTCCATCAATGCTTCGGCAAACACTTCCTCGGCCCAAATCCATAATGCCGATCCGCCAAGCGCTCCCGTGCATGACATGCACGCGCATATCCCCACATGGAACACCCCACACGTGCAGCCAGTGGTTTTTGGGACGCGTTTGCCCGCGTTCCATCCACAGCAACTGGTCAACGGGCTCCACCTAGCACCGCGGACACAGATACCGTTTGCATCGTCGACGGTCGCGTTTCATGCCCAGCAGGATGATTTGAACTCGCGTGGAGTATCCACGCCGCATCCCGGACAACGGATTGCTGAACAACAGACCGCGTACGCGTCCATGCCCTCAAGCCAGCTGTTTGGGATGCCCGTGCGTGGCTTCGTAGGGCCGCAGTACGGGAATGTGGGATTCAGGTACGGATACATCGGCGTTCAGCCAGACCCCATGCTGCACGCGCCCGAAGCTGTCGCGACGCCACCAGTCGCGCCGTCAACCCCATTCCCCAGCGCGAATCATCCGGAAATCCAGGCACCAGTGCAAGCCCTGCGGGACCACATAGACCCATTACTGATGGGTGTGGACACCCATGCGCGTGCAGACGGCCCTTCGACGTTCGCGGTTCCCGATGGTTCAGTGCGTGCGGAGAATGTTGGAGCGGGGATGAATGCCAGCGCGCGTGCACATTCGCCGCCAATATGGAACGTGAACTCGCTGTTGCCGGGAAACCCGGACGTCCACATCCGCACCCCCGCGCAACCGACCGCAGCGGACGAGAACTGTGAAGGTGAACAACCACAGGCGAACGCGGGGAACGCGGTACGAGGAGCGCGTGCAGGTGGAAACGCGGGAAGAGGAAGAGGGACTGGTGCAAGGGGTAACGCGGGAAGAGGAAGAGGGACTGGTGCGAGAGGGAACTCGGGAAGAGGGACAGGTGAGAGTGGGAGAGGTGCGAGAGGAAGGGGTGGGAGAGCGAACGCGGGACGTGGGACCGGTGTGGGACGGAACGGAGGTAGTGCGAACGGGCGGAGCGCGCCTGGGGTGGTAGGCAACGGAGGCAGAGGTACCGGTGGTAACGCGACCGGAGGTACCGGGAACGTGCCAGTCAGTACACCGCGAGTAAGGAGGCGGCGAGTCGAAGTCGTGCCTCACACGGCACGCCTCGGATCGCGAGAGGGGAGCGAGGGGGATAGCGATGAGGATGACGAGGAGGACGCTGACGATGAGGAAGACAGTTGGAATGAAGATGACGAAAACTACCTCTCTAACTCGTTGTCCGCGCTCAACGAGGGGAGGAGGAAGACAACGAACGAGTGCGTGGTACGCGAACGGTCCTGGAGGTTCCCATCGCGGATTGGAACAGGCTTGGTGCGGACGACACGCCGGCCGCAAAAAAAGAGGTGTGCATGGGCATCCTCTACGGTGTCTCTGAAGCCACGCTGAAGAAATATCGCGGTTGGGCAAGAGAGTACAAGCTCTTCATGGCGCACGAGCTGCCAAAACTGGACGCGAATAGGTTCGGTGAGGAGGCCGCGTTGGAAAACGCGAACCCCGACGAGATCGGGGCCGCGCTCGAGCAGAACATGGGTAGTGACTGGAAGATGGCGAAGGGCGACGAGCAGTGGTTCCACGGCCCTGAGACGAATCCGTGGAGGTTACGCAAATACGTGACCTTCCTCGCGAACGAGACGGTCGCACAGGCGGACAGGATGGCCACACTCAAGCGGCCCGACAAAACATTGAAGAAGAGACGCCAGTGCTCCCCTGCAATGCTGATGGGGCGTCTCAAGGCTCTGAACATGCTCATCAAGCTGGACGGGGCCATCTTCAGGAAGCCGGTTCTGAATCTGCTGCGCGACTTTGCGGAGTGTCGCATCTGGGTCCGCGTTCAAGTCCGCGACCAGTACAAGAGATTTATCGCGTAAGTATACACACGCATTGACCGCGTATGTCCAACTAAACCGCGTTCACCTGCAGACTCACTCTCGTCCTTCTGGTTGCGCAGGGAATACATGGATCGCCATCGGGGCACGGCCGCGGACACGTACAACCCGGACGAGTTCAAGAAGATGATGCGGAAAACCAGCATGGCCGCCATCGTGAGCAGCTTCACACTAGCCAAGCAACAGTACACGCAGGCAATGCATCGCGACCTCTGCATCAGGACGATGACCGTCCTCGGTCATCACACACTAGCCCACAAGTGCACGATCCGAAACCTCCAGCTTCCAGACATGATGATGTGGAAGCTCGGCGCAAAATCCGAGACGGATCCAGTGCGGAATGCGTTCGCGTTTGTCTGCGCGTGCAGGACGGGCAAGACAAACAAGGACTTCTCGCTCAACTACATCTCGGCAGTGAGACACATAGACTGGACTCTGTGCGCGGTCGGAGCCACGCTGCTATGGCTGCACTGGGTGTACGACTTGGTCACTATCCTCTACGAGGACATAGCCCCCCCTCTCGACTTCACGGAACCTTCGACGTGGTACGACCAGTACATCTTCTTCCCCCTTCGCGCGGGGACCGAGAAGCAGATACCGCCCACGACTCATCACGACTGGGCGGCGAAGATTCTGGGGGACGCGGGAATCACATGCTCGCGTGTTGTTCACGCGACTAGAGCTGGAGGGGCTCAGCACGCGGCCGCAGACGGAATGCCCTCTGATCAGCTGGCGAGACTGGGGGGGTGGCGCTTCATCGACGTGATGACTAAGCACTACCTCACAACTATTCCGAGGGAGGCCGTGCTCCTGAAGGCTGGCTTCACAGGGGTTGATGGTGACTACTTCCTGGGTCGCGCAACTGTTCCGTCGAGCGAGGAGCTGGAGAAGCTGCTGAAGAAGCACATCTTCCCATGGGCCGCCGAGGACAAAGGGCAGAAACAGGTATGTGTGGGCCGCGCATAATAGTATCAACACACCGCGATCATTCCACATAAACCCCTAAACCCGGGATAATTATCGCGTTGTTGTGTTGCACAGTGCCATGATTACAACAGCAAGATGGTCAAAGAGAAGAAGCCGGAGAAGCAGGACACCGCGGGTCTAAACATACTGAAGGAGCTGGGTGGGGAGGCTAGGATGGCGGTCGCACAAGACCTGGCCATGTATTACATACACCAGCCGCGACACCCGTACGTGGTCAACAACCCGCTCTGCCAGACAGAGGAATTTGCGCGGTGGGCAGCAGATGTCTCCTTGGCAAATCAGCTGGCCATAGTACAGCGAAACACCCCTACACTGACCCAGCCCGCGGTGCGTACTGTTTGTTCGTGTTACTAGTTCGGCTGTCATGTCTATGCGTACAAATCACATTTTCCGCGTTCGCGTTCTGTGTATGCAGGAGGTCAGTACCAGGATGGACGCGCAGAACCAAGTGGCCTGCCTCACTGAGTACCTGACACGTTCACAAGCGGACAACACCAGGCTGGGCGTAGAGCTGGCCGCGACCCAGAGACGGGTGAAAGAGCTGGAGGGGCTGCTGGACGATCGCGACCGGAGGCTGGCTGAGAAGGACGAGCGCGTGAACGACCTGGAAGCCCAGCTGTCGCGTCTCACCGTGAGCAGCTCAGTGCCGACTGCGGATCCGAGTCCGGCAAACACTTCTGGAGCCGCGGCCGTGCCTACCAATGCCGCAACCCCCACAGACCAGGGGACCCGTAAGAAACCAGCACAGCCGACCAGGGAAGAGACTATTCGGGACGCGATCATGAAACCATGGGTCAACGCGACCAAGCCGTCGGACGGATGGAAGCTGTACAAGTCCACGCACGCGCTGGTAGGCGAGAGTCCAGAGTCGCTCCTGGCCCAACCCCGTGGTGCAGTTACGCGAATGGCCGAGCTCATGGGGAAAGAGAAGGGCGGCCAGAATGCCGCCCAGAACGCGATAAACCGTGTAAAGCGAGTCATGGAATTCATCTCCCGCAGGGTGGAGCTGGGAGACAATGTCGCGGTCGTGCTCGACAAGCTCGACCTCGTGTCCCGAGCTGTGGGCATGTCGGGTGTATCGGAAGGGATCGCGGTGAAGAAGAAGAGTGTTGACATATCCCTGAGCGATCTGAAGAAGGGTTCCCCTGCGGAGGTTCAGTTGCGGGTGAAATGGATGCTTGTACGCGACCGCCTCATCGATGCCTCTCTTCCCGCGTCAGAGTTTCCGGTCGCGTGGCCTCAGTACTATGACCAGATGCCCCCGCTTGCGTGATTGGGTGGTCGTACCCTGTTCGCGTTGTGATATTAGCGTAGATTGTGTTCCTAAGTGTTAAACCCAGTAGCATACTGCTAAATTCGGGAGCCAATTGTACCGCGGTCGAAATGCATGGTTTGTAATGTTTCCTCGAACAACAATGAGCGTTTAATGTGGTCGCATATGCGTTTACAAACTGCCCGCGCTATGTGCTCTTGCGCGAACCCAGCCGCGCTGTGAATGGTGATGTTAGGTCATAGCCAATGGTGGATTAGCGCAAAACATTGGCCGCGAAAGAAGCAAAGGATGTCGTGATAGTAGGTATACTGAGGAGCCATAGCTAGGGTTGACCTAGCTAGGCAAGAGAGAATGAAGCAAAGAGGGTTTGCACTAGCAACAATGGTGGTACAAATAGCTAACCCTAGAAGGGTTGTACTCGCTATAGAGCACCCCACTGCAGGCTAGAGCATAATATTCTGACACACCCCCATAGTCAAAGTGGGGTGTAATCAGCAGAGCAAGCAAAGCAGTACAAGCTCAGGGTGGATCACGATGTCACCACACATTCTGAGCACAAGCAAGAAGCAATAGTTTAAGGTTCAAATTATGAGCAAAGCTAGAGGCAGTCACAGGGGGCAAGTGAGGAGGAGGAGGGCTGGCGAGAGGAGAGTAGATAGGAGGCGACGACTGAAGATGCAGACACACGGGCAACAGACGGCTCTGGTGCGACAACGTGGCTACCGGGAATGAGTGCCCCGGAGTACAGGAGTAACAGGCTCCGCGGCTAATATGCTCGGCAGGAGCAACGGACCCACAGGCGACGGCGCAACCGGCTCTCTGAGCTACCGGGAATGAGTGCCCCGGAGTACAGGCGCTGCGTACGACACGACGGCAACCTCCGCTCAACCTCCCCCAACAGTCCCACACCCCTCGACACACACCCTCTGCTTCAAACCCTAGCTAGCTCCACTCCCACGGTACCCCCCTTAAACCCCAAACCCTAGGCTCCCACACACCACCCCCCTCAGCGGCAGCTGTAGCAGAGGGAGACTAGGGAGGAGGAGGAGCAGGGGGAGGAACTCACAACCGACACCCCCATAGTCGCCACCCCCACACTCCTCACCCCCAAACCCTAAAACGGGCGGAACGGGGGAAGGAGCGCGGGGGACGGCGAGGGGGACGGCGCACGGCCCCCAGGACGCCACCACGGGGCAGCGAGGGGCCGCGCGCGGCTCCTTAGGGCGCCGCGAAGGGGCAGCGGGGGGTCGCGCGCGGCTCCCCAGGGCGGCGCGACGGGAAATCGGGGGCCGCGCGCGGCTCCCCAGGGCGTCGCGGCCGTCGACGGGGCAGCGAGGGGTCGCGCGCGGCTCCCCAGGGCGGCACGACGGCGAATCGGGGTAGCGGGGGGCCGAGCACGGCTCCCCAGGGCGGCGCGACGGGAAATCGGGGCCGCGGGGGGTCGCGCGCGGCTCCCCAGGACGTCGCAACGGAAAGGGCGGGGGCGCGCGGGGTCCCCCACGGTAGGAAACCGCCGCGCGCCTCGGGGCGCACGGCGGGGAGAAAACCGCCGCACGCCCCGAGCGCGCGGCGGGATGAAAAATCCGTCGCACGCCACGGGGCGTGCGACACAGACAGTAGTAGGAGCAGCGGAAGACTGAGGTGGTGGGGCCCACCCACAGGATCGACCCAACAGGATCGTCCTGCTCTGATAGCATGTCGTGATAGTAGGTATACTGAGGAGCCATAGCTAGGGTTGACCTAGCTAGGCAAGAGAGAATGAAGCAAAGAGGGTTTGCACTAGCAACAATGGTGGTACAAATAGCTAACCCTAGAAGGGTTGTACTCGCTATAGAGCACCCCACTGCAGGCTAGAGCATAATATTCTGACAAAGGAGTTGAATTACAAGAAAGGGGGAGGGGGGGGTGGGGGGGGGAAGTACAAAGCATAGACAGAATGACCACCGCGAGAAAAACTCAAGCAGGGTGGGCAAGCTACCTACACTATCAAGAGTCTCATGCGACCACACAAACAAGTGTCTGTACTATCTAGAGTTAGCAACCTCCGACTACCACCTTCACCCGGACCTCTTCTTCGCGGACAGCCGCTTCTCCGGCAAAGCGAGGTAGAGCCCGTTGGCCTCCATCGCCTTGGCCGTGATCTTGCAGTCGCACCAGGTCATCAGCACGTCTACTGCCTCGTGCGCGACCATAGCGACTACTGTGGGGTCGCCAAGTCGCGCACCGAGACGGTTCACGACCGCGGTCTCAATCTTCTCCGCAATCTGCTTCGGTGTGACCTCAGGGGCTTGCACGCGAGCATTCTCCTTCTTGGCCCACTTGAAAACCGCGGTCACGATCGTGGCGTGACCACGGGCCATTTCCTCTGGCGTGCCGGCAAGCTGGGCCGCGGAGTATCCAGCATCCGCGACAGACTCGATTTCGCTACCATCGCGATGGCGCACGCGACCGCACCAGCGAACAGGCCCACTTGGGCGCCGGTGACATCGGGCTCCTCATCTGCTGCCTCCTTCCCCACCGCGGCGGCCCATGCTAACGCGTTGCTGATCGGGGACCCACGGCGGGTGAGGTCGCGGTAGGTTTTCAACATGTGGTGGTACCTGCAAGCATGGGGAAACACGCAACTTGGTTAGCCACGTGTGTGGCCGCGTTCAAGTCATCTTGGGGAAACCAATGTGCGCTCAGCTGACCGTACCTGTCAACATTGCCGCAAAGGTTGCGGAGGTGCATGGTGGTGAAAAGCCCGGTGCACATCGTCCCGGCCGCGGAGATGTCCTCGGCCCATTCACTCTTCTGCTGCGCAGTCAGCTTGAGCCCGGGGTCTATCTTCTTGTCGTAACACGTCACCGCGATCGCGGTCAGGTACTGCACCTCCTGGAGAGAGTGATGTCCGAGCCAGCGACGTCTCCCCCCCAGCCACGGTTCGCCCACCATCCCCTCCCCACCCCTGGGCGGAGGGCAGATCCCACAGCCCTTGCGCTTGCCGCCTGCGCCGCTGGTGTCACCTGGCCCGCACAACCTCTGCAGCACCATCTCGACCTCATCGTCCGCATCCGAGTCGTCGTCGTCGTCGCGTCCAGTCTTAACCGCTGCAGCAGGAGGCTTACAGCCACTGCGGCCCTGATTCTTCGCCTTCACATCTGCAGAGGGGGGGATGGCAGGGGCGATAGAGCTGGGTCCCGGCTGTCCAGGCGCGACCGCGGCGGTGTTGCCTGACGCGGGCACAATCGCGGTGGTGATGGCGGGTGGGTTGGTGGTGGAGGCGGGCGGGTCGTCCTCGACCTTGGCCTTGCCTTTACCAGCTTCCCCAACCGAGGTCGCAGGCGGTGGCCCAGCAGCAGCAGCAGCAGCAGCAGCCCCCCTGGTGGGCCCTGCAGCGAGGTCGACGACCGCTCCCCCCTTGGTCTTAAGAAGGTCGACGACGCTATGGATCGCGACCCCTTTCTGCCGCTTCCCACCCCTGCTGTTCTCACACTTACCTGTCTCCTTGTCCGCGACCCTCTTCCCTGTCTCCTTCTCCGCGACCTTCTTCCCAGCCTCCTTCTCCGCGACCTTCTTCCCAACATCCTTGTCCGCGGCCGTCTTCCCACCCTCCTTCGCCGCGACCTCCTCCACCACCTGCCCCTGCGGTCCAACCGGGACCTGCTGCGGTGCGGCACGCCCGGATAGCATCGCGATCATGATGTTGAGGGAGCTGGTGACGCCACTTGTGTGGATCGCTTTCTCGGCGGTACCCGCGATGTTGGATGACGCGCCGTCGACCTTCCGCGCGACCTCGTCCGTGAGCTTCTTCTGCGCGTTCTCCATGGAGTCCACAACCACCCCCTTCATGCTTCCCGCGCAATCTTCCAGTCGGACCGCAGCGCGTTTCAGCACCTCCCGCATGTCGCGATTCTCCGACCTGTCCTTCGCGGCCAGCTTGGCCTCCCTGCGAACCACCCGCTCCGTGTTCTGCACGTGGGTTAGCGCCTTCTCCACCGTGGCCTCGAGCTCCTCGTACTTCTGCGTGATCACCACCGCGAATTCAGCACCGGGCACCACGGACGCGACCTCGTCCAGCTTGCGCTTCTGATTTTCCAGCTGCTGGTTCAAACGGAGGATCTCCGCGGCCAGCTTCTCAGGAGCCATCTTCACCAGCTCCGAGTGTTTCCGCTTGCCCAAGACCGGACTCTTGCCCGCGTACTCGCCCCATGGGGTCGCGCTCCCGGGGCGGGGGGACAGCACAGCCTGCAGACCGCGAATACTCTTCCCTGCTCCCGCTACCGCGCCCGTTGGCCGCCCGGCATGGGTGGCCGCGACTTCCTCCACCTCCTCCTCTTCCTCGTCCTCTTCTTCGTCCTCTTCGTCCATCTCGTCCGAACCCTCGAGCTCCAAATCACCGCGCTGGTCATCCTCCGCGGCATCCCCTCCGTCTTGATCGCGACCGTGTCCCTCGCCCTCGTCCGCCTCCTCCTCTGCATTCTCGTCACCTCCACCCTCCTGCGCGTTCACATGGGCGTCCTCTTCGCGGTCAGAGCTCGATCCCTCCTCCTTGATGTCCGGTTTCCCCTGGTCCCCCTCCTCTGTGTTCGCGAGCGCAAGAGCCGTGTTGAGAGCGATGTTGTCGCGACCGGTAACGTGAGATCCCGCTGGCTGTTCGTGCGACCTCTCACGGTCACTGCCGTGGGCATCCCCCCCATGACCGTCCGCGATGCCGCACCGGGACCTGAACGCGAGCTCTTCAGCGGCACGTCTAGCATCCTGCCGCAATGTGGTCAGCGTCCTAGCAATCGGCTTGGCGATGCGAGGAGCAGGCTCGTGCCCAACAACCGCGTCGAGGTCGTTGAGAACTCGGTCGAACGCGAACCCACATGCGAGTGGACCGCAAGGGGCCTTCCAGGATGAAATATCCTGAAAGGAAAGTGTTGGTCGGAATGTAGGGTTAGAACCCAGGGATGAATACAAACGCGTGCCACAGGAATCAGGACAAATGTACCGCGAACACTAACAAACTCACCAGGTCCACGAGGCGCGTCGGCTCGCCCAGCTGCCCAGCGCGGTCGCACTGGACCGAATCGGCCCCGTAGTAGAGGCAGACGCGACCGTGGAACCACCTGCACGGTTCAAAATACGTATCTTAGAAACAGACGCAAGATAGCAACCATGCGTCAGAAAACAGCACATGTGCAACATACGTACTTGACAATCTTCTCCACCGCGGCAAGATGCTCAGCCGCGGCAGTTGGGTGACAGACGCGGACAAAGCGAGTCTTCCAGGTTGAGGCCGCGTCGAGCCCTAGGTGGTCCGAGCGCAATAGCAGCAACATGCCCGCGTTGGAGGCCTTCTTGTCACTCACTTCCCTGACATGACCGCATGAGACACGACGAAAGGCATCAGCAATCATCTGCAACCCCGCACGCAAACCATAACCAGCCTACAACAAGCCGCGCTGTACTCACTCGGACCAGATGCAGAACGCGACCATCTTGCATGCAACCAAGCCGTCAAACGCCACATGCGCGGCCTCGCGTCCAGCGACGATGTCCGCGACAACATTGGAGGGGACCACCTTAATTGCCTACTGGAGCGACGGGGACACGCACTTCCGAACTACCACGCTGGAAGGGAATGGGAAAACAAAGTCACAGAATGATCGCGGCCTGGCTGTCGTGATAGATGTGTGTACGACACAGACGGGGATGAATGGTTTCGCGATCGGAACCACGGAGGCAAAGGAAGGAACGGACGGGTCTGTATGCTGTCGGACGCACGCGACCCTGATACACGCGACCGCTATGCATGCATATGTGGATGACCCGAACTAGACTGACAACGACGCGATGTGACCCATGATCACGAGACCTACCAGGCGAGAAAGTCGAATGAGGTCGCGGTGAAAGGATGCTTATCATCGGAGAAGCACTTCCTCTGCTCGGGGGGGAGCTCCACAGTGGCGCCAGCGATCGAGATCGTAGCAGTGTAGGTAGCGCCCTGCTCCCCACTGTTCAACAGCGCCTTCAATTTGCGACCGGCCATGGCGGTGGCAGAACGCCTACTTCACTACAGCTTGTGACGATTCTAGAATAACTGGGAACGCGGTTACTCCTACGGTGATGGACTAACTAAACGCGAACGCGAACGCAAACGCAAACTCCACTGCTAAAAAAAAACCGCTCGCACGCACCGAGAAGTTGCAGGTTGACAATAGAAGGAAAGCAAAGTGAGAAAGGTGAAATGAGCCAGTGATCCCTGTTTCAGAGGCCTATTAGGGTAGGGACGGGACGCATCCGGGATGGGGTTAGCACGAGCAACTGGAAGGGGGGGGGGGGAGGGGGGGGGGGGGGGGGGTGTGTGGGGCATTGCGCGAGGTGGGGAGGAACCCGCGGGCCCCTTCGGACATCCCGATGTGGGGGGCGTTCCCGTTCACGCATGCGGGTGGAACCATCACCCGCCATGTGGCTCTCCGACCGCGGTCTGCATGCAATGGGCGACTGTTACCACCTCGGGCGGGGTGTATTCCTCGTCGCGACCGCCAAGACGCAGGGGTACGATCTCAATGTACCCCTTTCTACACTATCGGGTAGTACACTACGCGCGTGCATAAATGTAAATCGCGTTTAAGTGACCAAAAACGGTGTAAAGCGACCGGAAATTCATACGGACATTGAAATTAAGGGGTTATTTAAATTCGACCAGTAAACCCCCTCTGGAAATTAATACGACGAACAAAAATGAGGGGAAGGTTTTAAGGTGAAATTTAAGTTCAAAGGAAAATGCCATGTGAATTGTAAATCGCGTTCATAAATTGCGATTAATAAAAAAAAAGTGTAACATCAATGGGTTGGGTGAACACTGCCCTAAATTGCGGATACCCTTGGGCGAACCCTGGCGACCCATCGCACGCGCGAAGTGAATTTCGCGATGGGTTTCCGAAGCAGGGATCCGGTATGCACCGTCACCGATTGGCCAGCGCGCACAGGCGACGCTTCGCACGAGCGGCCAGGCATGTGTAGTGTCTCGCTGGTGTCGCTGGTGCTTCGTAGCGTTTCGGCGCGCTCGGGGCCCGGGTGGTTGGCTCGCGAGGGGTTTCGCGAGCCAGGGCTGGATTTCGGGGGGCTTCCGGGTGTGGTCCCGGGCTGCGTGGCGCTGGCATGTCCCGGGCTCGGCGTGGGGCCAGCTGCCAGCTGACTCCCCTGTTAAATTGTAATGTGTTACATGTTGGTAGGCTGTAGTGGGGTAGTTAATATGGGGTACAACCCCAACTAGGGTTTGCTACTTGTACCCAACTGTTTCATTCAATGCATCATTCTTGCCTAGTCTTGTTGACATGGTATTCAGAGCAGGAGGTCCCTAGGACCTACCGACCGTTTTTTTTAGGGCCCACCACCGCTCCCATGCGGTTACCACGCTACCCCGTGCCCTAGCCTAGCTGCGCCCTCGTGCGCCCTCGTTAGCGCCCTCGCGCGCCCTCGTTAGCGCCCTCGCGCGCCCTCGCTGCGCCCTTGTGCGCCCCTCGTTAGCGCCTTCGTGCGCCCGCGCTGCCCGCCCGTCGCGCTGCCCGCCGCGCTGCCCGCCGTCGCGCTGCCTGCCGCGTCGCCCGCCAGTCGCGCAGCCCGCTGCGCTGCCCGCTCGCCGCGCTGCCCGCCCGTCGCGCTGCACGCCGCGCTGCCCGCTCGCCGCGCTGCCCGCCCGTCGCGCTGCACGCCGCGCTGCCCGCCCGCCGCGCTGCCTGCCACGCAGCCCGTCCCGAGCCCGCTCGACGCGCGCGCGGCCCGCAGCTGCTCCGCGCAGCCCGTCCCGAGCCCGCGCGACGCGCGCGCGGCCCGCCGCTGCCCCGCGCAGCTCGCCCCAGGTCCGCGCGGCGCGTCCGCGGCCAGCAGCGCGCTGCGCGCCGTCCGCGCGGCCCGCGCCGCGCCCTACCCGCCAGTGCACGGCCCCCGGCAGCGGCTCGCGCCACCCTACCGCCGCCACGGCCCCACCCTGCCGCTGCCACGACCCGGCCCTGCCCTGCCGCTGCCACGACCCGGCCCTGCCCTGCCGCTGACTCGATCCGGCCCTTCACTGTAGCCGCTGCCACGGCCCTGCTGTCGCCGCCGTCGTACGCTGACCCTGCCGCCGTCCGCCGAGCACCGGCCCTGCTCGCCCGGTGAGAGCCTGCTCTTCCTGCTACTGGTGAGCCCCTGCCTTGCTAGCGCGCTGCCGCGCCGCCGGCCTGCCTGCCTGCCTGACCTGCTGCTACTGGCCGACGCCAGATGCAGCCCCAGCGACGTCCGCGTGAGTCCCTCACGTGTTAAACTGTATTATGCTTGTAGGCTGTAGTGGGGTAGCCAATATGGGGTACAACCCCAACTAGGGTTTCATATTTGTACCCAAACTTCTGCTAGTTCATCCATTCTTGCCTAGTTACTTTGACATGGTATTCAGAGCAGGAGGTCCCTAGGACCTACCGACCGTTTTTTTTTAAGGGCCCACCACCGCTCGCATGCGGTTACCACGCTACCCCGTGCCCTAGCCTCGTAGCGCCCTCGTGCGCCCTCGTTAGCGCCCTCGCGCGCCCCTCGTTAGCGCCCTCGCGCGCACCCTCGTTAGCGCCCTCGCGCGCCCCTTCGTTAGCGCCCTCGCGCGCCCCTTGCTAGCGCCCTCGCGCGCCCCTCACTAGCGCCCTCGCGCGCCCCTCGCAGTGTCGCCCGCCCGCCGAGCCGCCCGCTCGCAGCCCGCTCGTCCCGCTGCCCGCTTCGCAGCCCGCCCGCCCGCTCGCTGCCCGCTTCGCGGCCCGCCCACTTCGCAGCCCGCTCGCCCCGCTGCCCGCTTCGCAGCCCGCCCGCCCGCTCGCTGCCCGCTTCGCGGCCCGCCCGCTTCGCAGCCCGCCCGCCCGCTCGCTGCCCGCTTCGCGGCCCGCCCGCTTCGCAGCCCGCTCGCCCCGCTGCCCGCTTCGCAGCCCGCCCGCCCGCTCGCTGCCCGCTTCGCGGCCCGCCCGCTTCGCAGCCCGCTTGCTCGTTGCCCGCTTCGCGGCCCGCCCGCTTCGCAGCCCGCCCGCCCGCTCGCTGCCCGCTTCGCGGCCCGCCCGCTTCGCAGCCCGCTCGCCCCGCTGCCCGCTTCGCAGCCCGCTCGCCCGCTCGCTGCCCGCTTCGCGGCCCGCCCGCTTCGCTGCCCGCTCGCAGCGCCGCCCGCCCGCCCGCTACCTGCTTCGCAGCGTCGCCCGCTGCCTCACTGCCCGCTTGCTGCGTCGCCCGCCCGCCCCGCTGCCCGCTTCGCAGCCCGCCCGCCGCGCTTCTCGCCTGCTGCTCCCTGCCTGTGCACCGCCGCTTGCTCCTGCTGTGGCTGCTAGCTTCGCTCTAGCGCGTCCCCTCTGCTGCTGCCGCTGCTCTGCTGTGCCCTCACGCCTGAGCTATGGCCTCTATTCGCGTTCTTTCCTTCGATGCTGAGGGCCGTCCCGTGCAGTTCACTTCCTGGCTCGATGACCTGCAGTTGTATCTTATGAGCAATAGCACGGACCACATCTCCCTCTATGACTACGCGTCTGGTGCTGCCGCTGCTCCTGCTGCCACAGCCGAGCTTAGTGTACGTTCACAGTGGCAGACTCGTGACGCTGCAGCTCGCCTGGCTATTCGCAGTCACCTGCCGTTAGCTGAGCTAGAGCACTTTGGCGACTGCAAAACCGCTAAAGCCCTATACGACGCTGTCGTTGCTCGCTACTCCTCACCTGCCACAGCCGAGCTTAGCCGTCTCATGCTGCCTTACCTGTTCCCTGACCTGTCCACCTTTGCTACAGTCGCCGATCTTATCACCCACCTTCGCACTAGTGATGCTCGCCTGCGTGCCGCCCTTCCCACCGAGTTCTGCGCTAAGAACCCCCCTCCCCTGTACTGGGCACTCCACTTCATAGTCACCCGTCTCCCTGACACCCTCAGCTCAGTGCGCGACTATTTCCTTGCTCGCTGTCCCACTGAGCTCACTGTCGCCCTCCTAGAGGAGAAGCTGCTAGCAGCCGAGAAGAGCATTGTAGCTGTTGGTGCTGCTCGCGGCGCTCCTCGCACCCCCATCTTTGAGGGGTGCTCTCCCTCTCCCCTCGCTCCCTCCTATGCTACTGCTGCTGCTGTTGACTTCCTTGGTGCTGAGTCTGCTGGCGCTGCTTCTGCTCCTGGTGGGAGGCGCCGCACCGGCAAGGGCAAGGGGGGCAAGGGTGGCGGGGGTGGCGCTGGGGGGGGGGGGGGGGGTGGGGGAGGTGGGGGGGGAGGCGGTGCTGGAGGGAGCGGTGGCGGGAGTGCCGGTGGGAGTGGGGCCGGCGGCGGAGGCGGGGGCGGCGGCGGGAGCAGTGGCGGTGGTGGCAGCGGCGGCAGTGGCGGCGGTGGCGGTAGTGGCGGTGGCGGTGGCGGTGGCGGTGGTGGCGGTCGGAGCGGAGGTAGTGGCGGCGGTGGAGGTCGGAGTGGAGGCACCGGCTCGGGCCAGAGCTCCCAGCAGCAGCAGCGTCCCCAGTCGACCCAGCAGCTTCGTGAGTGGCTTGCTCAGCGTGGGACGTCGGGGGGCAGTGGCCGCTGTTCCTATGTCATTCGCACAGGTGATCGCAAGGGGCAGACGTGTGGAAAGTTCCACACTCAGTACCGCTGCTTCTTCCGCCTTGACGACGCTTGGCGTGAGGAGATGGGCGAGGATGTTGAGCGCCCTCGCTGGGCTGAGCTGATGAGGGCTGGTGTTGATATCTTTGCTCTTGACTATGATGCTATTATTGCTGCCATGTATGCATTGATTGTTAGTGCCGAGGGAGACTGTTACTTGTGTGTGCCGCCTGACCCAGGTATAGGGCCCGCTGCCCTAGGTACTAGTGAGTCTGCTCTCTCTGGTATGGTGCCCCCTGTACCTGCTCCCTCCAGTGCTGTCCCGGCTGTTTGCGAGTCTGCTCTCTCAGGTACAGCACCCACAGAGACTGCTCTCTCAGGTACTGCACCGGCTGAGACCTGTCACACCTTCACCCTTGACTCAGGTGCTTCCCGCTGCTTCTTTCGAGACAGTACTGAGCTCACACCGCTTCCTGCACC